GTGTAACTATAGCGAGGAACGTTATCTGAGGGCCAAAGGCCTGAGCCGGGGGTGGGTATGGGAGGGGATATCTCTCTTCCCAGTATCCCCTCCTCTCCAAACGAGATTTTTTTTTTAATTGGGACTTCTAGATGGCCGGATGGCTGGAATGGGAAAACTAGGCCTTTTTTTTTTTTGGTCCGACTGCCCGATGAGCTTTGGCCAATGGGGGTGGAGGGCTTGACCAGACAGATGAGGGGGCTTAAGCATATGTACCAGGTATTAGATTTCAGGGATAAAATTAATTGAAAATGATATGCACTAAAAGTCTGATATAAAGTAAATAATAATTGAAAATATACACATTTTTCAATAATCATTTTCGCCATTTCATTTTATATTTCTGATGAAAATCGCTTATAATTTTAAATGTCTTGGTTTGTTGATTAAGCAGAAAATATCGAAGACCATCACTAAACTAAGTCAAATAATCCGTCCACTAAAACAGGTCACTTAGAATCAATCTCTGTAGAAGTCGATCAAACTGCAATTATTCTAATGCTCTACAGTACTTTTCTAGATTTGATCGGACAAAAGATTAATGAGAATTAAACTACCTTACTAATCAAATGTCAAGCATCGCATTTCTCAGGATTTCTGCACCACTAAATGTGCAGCTATGTTGTTGAATATTCCACATGTCACTTCTTTATACAATAACAAGATTTGATTGAACATTCCATACCTCAGAAAATTGCATTGATGACATCGACCATACCACTTAGAGCATCCTCCTATATTTTCCTATAGACAGGGATTAAACAGGGCTAAAACCCTATTACTAAAGACCTATAACTACTAACTGATATGATGGGGTTACAGTAGGCCTACTGTAACACAGACAGGGGCTGTGATAATACAAAGTCCAGGCTTGTGAGTTTGATCACCGGCTCCATCAATTGATCAGCATTAGCAGTCCCACACATGAAGTAAATGCCAAGCGATTTAATTGTGTTATCTTTGTAGAGATATTTCGCCGGGTTATAACACATATGAAATTATACGATGTTACAATATAAGATAAGTTCACTGATACCAGCCTTTACACACTGATATCTTGGTTAAATATAGAAACACTAAATTCCATAGCACCCATTGAAACAATTGTGAAAAAACATGATATGTGTTTATGTACAGCAGATATTTTTAAGACACTGATATATATTATTTGACAAAAAACTCAGAAACAGTTAATAAGATAGAGATTTTAAAACATTTTAAAACTGGGGGAAATATTTCATTTCTTCTCAGAGGGTCCCAATTTAGAAGAAGTCATTTCCAGGAGATCTGTTAAAACAAGCTTTCTTAGCACATCTAATTTTGTTTTGCTGCGTATGGTGTGATAACAATTAACACTGACTTCCATGAGACAAATGATAATAAAGGGGCAATACAGTAGTAAAAACATGCAGATTTAATTAATTTGCAGGGGATAGGTTATTTTCTGGGAGATTCTCGTCCAGTTGCGGGTGTGCGGGAAACTGTCAGGATTTCTGGGAGACTCGCGCAACTTCAGGAGACTTGGAATCACTGTCTTATTAACTGTCAACAAGTTCTTCCTCAAACACCCCTACAACGTCTTTAAAAAAATCAGTTGTACAATATAAAAAATTCCCCCCCCCCCCCTTGGCATAGCCTGGCTTTAAGGATTTTGTACAGTTAACAGTATAATTATAATCCATACAAACTCATCCTCACATAATTAGATCAATTTTATTGCTTGAATATGCTCTATCAATATCCTCCTTCTTGTCAATTATCAATTAGATTGAAGACTATTACATGTGGATCTACTACCTCAAATGTTTACATAATAGATAAGATCTATTATATGTAAATAGTAGTTCATAAGAAGATACAGCAAGTAATGCTATTATGATAATGTTAAATTTACAACTGGAGGCTTATTCTACACCCCATGTTTCAACCAATGTATCTGAAGTTCTATTGTCTTTTTTTAATTATTTATTATAACAGTATTTATATTTAAAATATGACTCACTCAGGAACCACCAAAGCCAACAACATGCTTAATATCAATATATTTATTTTATTTAGTTACTATAAATATTTAAAAATTGTTCACTTTAATTCACATTTAATTAAAAATTTGAATATCAAATTGAATGCCAGTGGTGAAATAAAAATGTAGTATATTTTAAGTAAATTGTAAGTTATAGTATGAGACAGAAAATAGAATTGTACAATAAAATATTTAAAAACTATTTTGATTCCTCAAACAACCTAGATAGAAAATCACCAGAGAGGCGCAGATAAACTGGCAGCAATACATAACGATCTATTAAAGATTATTTTCTAAGTGCTACAATAGAGTTATTTGAATCTCTAAATCATAAGCGTTACTGTTTTTACTGGTTTTATTTATGTGCATCTGTATCTTAGAATTTAAAGCACATAATAAATCTGTAGTCACACACACACAAAAAAAATATCTTAATACCAATAAATCATTTAAAATTTCTCTTGACAAATTTCCTAAACTGAAGCTTAGTATTATTTATTTGAGAATAAATGTTCAGGATCAGTAAATATTTTGGACCACGCTTAAAGAGAAACAAAAGAATCTTATATATTAATACCAAATAACTTTGACATATAATTTCTTCTTGACAAATTTCTTAAACTGAAGTTTATTTGACATCAATGTTTAGGATCGGTTAATATAGTATTGACCACGATTACACTAACGCTACGACAAAGATATTGCGTCCAACAGTGACTGTATCAATCAAAGGTGGTATTTTGTTCGGACATATTGCTCTACCAAGATTTAAACTGGGATTACTTGCATCAGAACGGCACGTGAGTGATGTCGATTCAGAATGCCTTGACATCACAGTTGATCTATTTATAGATTGTTGCGTACAAAACATCAATAAATGATGTTTATAGGTTATTCAACTTGAATATCAAAATACAGACTGCTTCACAATTATAAATATCAACAAAAATAATAGCATAAATGATAAGAAAAACAACATAATAAAATTAATTAAAAAAATTGGCGGAAAATAATTAATTTTTAAATAATTTGATTCAATGCTGATATTATTTAGAGTGGTGATACAAGGGTAAAATATGTATATAATACTGAAAATAACAACAATTTGGGCATTCACTCTAAAAGACCATTATTAATTTGAGTGTCAGTGCTAGAAAGACCCCCAACAAGGGGTCTAAGATCCTTACCAGGTCGTCCCAGTTCCACCTCAGCCCTATTGTTTTCAAAGACGTTTAAGAACAGGCACTTCTAGATGCTCTGACATAGAAGTGTTTCCCGACAGGTAGTACCGTGCCTCCACCACCAGACAGGATATATATTATTTGATGCTGCTATTGTTTTGAATAGAGACCATTGATACTTTGAAGGATAATTTGTCGGATACTATTATTGTATTTACTGAGACATTTAGGCACAATTTACCTGTGATTACTTGAACTTGGGGTGCAACGTGGATGTTGCGATCACGATGGACCACGTTACCTCCGACCTCATGCATCTGAACCAGCTCTAGCTTGGACTGATCAGATGGATCTAAATTGATACAATAAAAACAAATCATACAAAAATAAATCCAGTAATTATAACAACAATAACATTTAGATATTATATTAAGGTCTTTAAGACACAAGGGTTATAAAAACCGTACTTAACCACTGAATATTTTGGTAAATAAATATTTTTTGCTATCTTTATGTTCTTAGAGTGGGTTAATACTTAAATTAGTATAGTATCAATATTAGTATTATCAACCATCTTCTTATATTCTGTTATCTTAAGAGAGTCAATCAAGTTGGCTAAATATACTTATGCAAAATGCAAGCCATATTGCAGGACATTAAAAAAAATTACAAATAAAAATGTAAATACAAGACCATAAACAATTAGCAAAGCAATAAATTAGAACAGAAATCAGTATTCAATCACAACAGTTTTCAATTTCATTATTTATGCATGTTAAGCCACAAAGAAATAATAACTAATAATTATATAACTTGAAACAAAACCTCACAAAACCTACAAGCAATATATAACTTATCTTTTATAATATAAAAAAGAACTAGAAAGCAGTTTGCAAAACTAATAACAGAGAGGAATTGAGAGAAAATAGCATCTAAACTTACTACACAAGATACGGAAGGAATATCAATCAGAAGAGGAAAAGTTTACAAAATTACTATTAAATTTCTATTTAAAGATGTACTGTCCCTTGCAAAAAACCAAAAAAAAAAAATCATTTTTAAAATTTACTTGCCCATTTTGAAGTAACATAAAAATTATCAACTTGAACATAGAATTTAGTGTACTTAAAATATGCTTACCCTTAAAAACCATCATATTACAGCGAAAAAATGATAGAAACACTTCCAGTCACTGGAAGTGTTTCATTATCTTTATTATAATTATCCAGTTAAAAAATCAGGGAACACAATATTTTAATTTAATAATTTCTATGCTCAAGTTAATAATTTTTATGTTACTGCAAAATGAGCAAATTAATTTAAAAATTATTTTTTATGATTTTGGTCATTTTCAAGGGACAGTACAGTACATCTCTAAAGATACACCACCCAACCAAACATTAAAGAAAACCTAAAATTAAAATAAGACTCCACATCACATACGGCACAGATAGGATCTTCTGCGCACACGGTAAGTTATCAACATTTTAATAAGTCACATATCGAAAAAGAAATACATTTTCAATAACTTACATATGTTTTATTAATAATGTTTTACAATTGAAATTAACCTCAAAATATAATCTTTTTTTTTTTTTTTTTTTTTTTTTAAATATAAAAATTAACACATAGTGGTTACAATGAAAGCAAATATATACTGAATCTCAGACTGTCGCATCAAACAATTTGAGAATATCTTATATTGTGTTCACAATAAACAGGAATAGCAGGAAAGAAATAGTGTAAAAGAGCATAAGCAAGGATTAATATGCTGCATGCTACGACTATGTATGCATATTTATTTTTTTCGCATGCACTAATCAGAATCCAGGGCAAGGCAAGCAAATGCATCGTAACATCAATCAACGCTCACCAGTAATCAGTGCCACTTTCGCAACAGCTTGTTGCGAGCTCTGCACGTTTCTGACACCTGGATTTGATAACCTCCGTGCCGGAACATGTTGGGGGCGGGACGTTACTGTGAAGGGGTATTAGCAGATGCATAGATATATCAATATAAATATATATTAATTATTATTAAACTGTGTATCTAAAAATTAATGGGATTTAAGGGATGGGGGAAACTTGCAGGGACATGATTATATACAGTAGAACCCCTCCTTTGGGTCACCCATTAAGGGGACACTTTTTCAGCCACACAATAAGTATACCTTTTAACACTAAGACTAACCCTATTCAGGGGACACTCCTAACCAGGGGAAACATTTCTTTGGTCCCAAAGGTGTCCGTTAATAGAGGTTCTACTGTATAAAATGTTTATAATGTAATTAAAAATATATTTAAAAGTTAGAAGTTGGGAACTTGTCTAATACCAGAAAATTTGTTTCTCTTAGGAGCTAAAATCATAATTCAATTTTGGCCAACAACAACAAACAACTATGTCAATTGCCTCATTGTACATAGTAGGAAGATGATTCCACAAAAGTGAAGCAGAACATATTAGAGACCAAGAATTTGAGGCTAAAGTAGAGAAAACCCACTTTCAAGTTGATGAAATACCGTACTTAATGTATTTCATGTTGGTACCTCTTATCTCATGCTTCTCGGATATTGTACTCAATCATCACTTGATATTCTCATATCATAAAAACCGGGTTTCCATAAAAATTACTATAGCGTTTCCATTGCAAAGCAGTATAACTTTCCCCCGCATCAATTCATAAAATGGTGCTCAAATTTTCCAACATGTGTTTGAGACACAGTATAGCGATTTTATTTGAAACCCAGCCTTTATATAAATATATCACAAGTAACTTAAATATCATACCTGTACCTTACAACAGTAAACGTTTTTCTGATTATATACAGTATGTCTACCTACCATCACACATTCTTCTGGCTTCATGATTACATCACACCTTTATCTTATAAATTGCCCACCTTTGATCTGCTATTCAATAACCCATTAGATCCCATATATTATGCTTCACTGACTATATTAGTAACAAATAAATCGTCTTAACCACATTATGTATCCCTAGTAAGTTAATGTTACATGCAATTAACTATCAATCAAACTTAATTTTGTATGCAAATTCACATCAAATCACTTTCATCACGCACCAGAAGTTAAATGTATGTGCTGATTACAATCATTACAGTATAAACATGATAAAAATGTGTTCATTTATACATAAAATCATCTATGAATATGATCATGTTGATCCTCATTACTATAAATTAGCATATAACACTATTCCATAAGAATCCCTTTCTAACCTTTTGCAAATTGATGTCATAATCTTAATACTGCCTATTAGTATCATTGTAAGTTTCTGATTATCTGAGAAAAAGTGACCTGGATTTGTTGAGTTTTATAGAACATTCTAGGGTGGATAACTATTGTTTTTTGGCAGTGTTTGGATTGGGAGAATGTTGGCAATTATAGTTTTATCCAAGTAAGTGTTCACAGAATATATAAGCTTTGAAATATTAAGTATCTTGACTAGAATTTTGATATGATATGAAAAGGTCTTATTAGAGCTCAATGTGTGCTTCACGGTAAAAACAAAAAAATCAACTTGTTCCGATAACAAGTACCAATCTATTAATACTGTTTGGTATCTAATGAAATTAATCAATAATGATAAAAATTCAACAACCAACTATTATGAAATGAGTACTTCAAAGGCAATTTAATAACGACCATGTCCAAAACCAATTATAAGATGTAAGTTCATTGTAGCTTTGTATGTTTATTAACCATTCCGACACTATGTGTAAGATATAAGTACAGTAACAATGATAGACACACCTCAAAATATTCTAACTTAATTAAAAGTAGATTACCTTACCTAAATAAAAGATGGGCACATAAACCTTTCCTGTGTTATTCGCGATAACTGTCTCCTCTTTCTTCATTTAAATTGACATAAAACTTCTTAACAAATTTGCGAAAAAATGTATTATCACACAAAATTCACATTATTCCAAATATTGTTCCGTAGGATATAGCAATGGCAACAAACTAACGTCCGTTTGCATTAATCTATGCAGCTACTGTGATGACAGCAGACTACAGAACTCACATCCTGTTGAAGGTAAACACGTCATAAACACGCTACATTTCAAAGGCAACACCAAAGCCGATGGGCATTTGTGAACTATAATGCTCCAGAAAGTGCACTTAAGAATAGTAAACTAGTATATTTCCAAACGTTAAAATTTTGTAGAAAACTGTTAAAATGTCCAATTTCCTATTTTCTAGTAAACAAACGCAATTCAAGTACATGTCAATGTTACTAATGTAGTAGCTTTCGCGAAAAACATTAATATCACCAGCTTTGAAAAACATTAATGTCACCAACACGTCGCTATTACCTTAAATCACCATTCCCACGAGCTTATGTTATTCTACCATAAATGAACTAGTTTGAATGAAAAAATTCCTCGCATCTGATTGGCTATTGCCTCGGAATTCTGCAAGCTTATTGGTCAGCAACTGCCATCAGATGATTGTAATTCAAATTGATTACGCAATGCTTGATGAAATAACCGAATCTATGACAAGCAAAAAACCTTTTACCGCATAATTATCAGTTGATATCTACCGTATCTAATCTTAATATTCATAACGGACATCATGCTGCTATTAGAAGCTACCATTATTCTCCTTCAATTGCCTGCCATGGGAATCTCCCGATTCTGCCAAGTTGTGTACGAGTTTATCGTAGCAAATTTTAAGAAAATATTTTGTTGAAGAAAAATACAACCAAGAACAAAAAATACTATAAATATTTGTGAGGTGTCGCGACAAAGTGAGTCAAGATGTATGTCAGATGCATTTGATCTGAAAATATAGTAAATATTTCATGACACAGGATTCTGTATAGATTTAAATATCTTAAAAGTGTTTTAGGCAAATTTTATAATGTCCTATTTTCAGAATTGATAAGGAAAACAGCAAGTGAGTCATAAATTGTTTATGATGCTATTCTCCAGAGTAAATTTCAGACATATAAATTTTGAATTGATCATACACAGATTCTACTCAACCTACTAACTTAATTCAAAGACCAAAATGAAGTTTAAGATATTATTTATTTCAATATTAGCAGCTAGTTTTTCATTAGTACCAAGAGATCCAATTTGTGAAAGCTTCCATTTTTTAAGAGATAACTTGTAGTGATACCCCCAGTAACACTTCATTAATATTCTCATAGTGGCCAGTAAACATGGACTTTTTCCTCTGATTTAGTGCATAATAATTTTATTAGTCATTATTTTTTTTGTTTTCTCTTTCATCTACATTACATGCATGTTTTGTCTTGTCGAAATTGGCTAAGCTTCTGTATCGATTATGATAAATGGAATTTTATGTTTATTCACAATTTGGTACTGGATTATTACTTATTGTTTGAAGGTTTGCATGACGAAGTCATAATATATATTAATGTTTGCGGTACACCACGTAGATAGTTCTGAAAAGAAATGTTGTTGTTGGTTGAGAATATCTCGACGTTCGATTGAGTTGCTCCAATCGTCTTCAGGAGAATATTCTCCTGAAGCATTAATATATGGATTATTATTCAATATCATAATAATAATAATAATAAACATGTGGATGGATACTTAATTGACTCATTTCATCCAAACCTACAGAGAGCTAATTCCATTGATTCTAAAAAGGTATCATAAATTACTAAGCTAATAGTAATAATTATAATAATCATAAATTAGATTTACGTTTAACGTAACAACGCTGCTAAAGCACTGGCCATTAAATATATAAATTTTACACAATTAATAGTTTTTAAAGTAATACTGTAAACTTAGGCAATGCAATATAATAAGAAAATCCAAAGGAGTAGGGGCCTACACAAAATTGACCTTATATTGGTATAGCAACCAACTATCAATCAGTCTTAGGTTTGAATACTGATAGAGAAAATTTGTTTTTTACCTAAAAAATAAAGATTGCCATTACAAAACCAGCCTATACTGTCGCTGATTGTTAAACTAAGTAATTAGTGTAAAAATGTGGCGGTATTGTATACTTGAGGCATGTTGTGGCAAAATAGCTAAGCTGTAGCAAAAATTGAAAGTCAGGTTATTGGTGTTTTCAGATACCTGAGTATGTGATATTTAAAATGAGGGGTCCATTCATTCAAATTGGACATTTCAAGCCTAAGTTATTGGAAAGTGAAAGTACAGTATTCTAGAATCAAGATAAACGTGATTTTGAGTAATTGCCTTTCAAAGTCATTTGTGCATACATATTAGAATGAACTATCAAAATAACATTAAATAAACAATGTTTTGACCACTTCCAGAACTAATACTTTGGTACATGATTAATAAGACATTAAACTGTTGATTTATAGTAAAAAACAAATTTGGATTTTTAGGCAATTTTTTGAGCTCCCATATTTTATAGCTCATTTACTCAATACTGGCCTGTGTGACAACTTAACCATTTCGCCACGACATGCCTCACTTTAGTAGAGAAGCCATAATACTTTTACTCATAACTTTGGCAATGGTAAGTTGATTCCAGTAAATGACCAACCATTCTACAGCTTATAATATGGAGAATAAATAAGAATATATTAAAAAGTCAATTTTCTTTTTTTGTTACTGATGCCAGTTTTGGGATGGCAAGCCTCAAATATCATCTGGTATAAAAAAAATTTACTAATTCAAGCCTGTTCATCAAGTTTTATATCATATAATAATTTTTCCTTTATTAAAAATGTATTCACTTTCCTTTTCAGGTGATTTTAAGGACATCCATATAGGAATACTACTAGGCACATTATGTAGGCCTGGTTAAATTGTACACAATGTAATTCCATATTAATTGAATTCCATACAAACAATAACAAGCAAATCTACCACGTCCGTAATTTCTACGATTTGTGAAACACTGGTATTATTCCCTCATCACTCACCACTTTCTTTCATCCTTCTAACTTGTCAGAATAACCACATGCATTATGCATCACCATCATTCATTCCAGGTTGTCATCATATCATTATTTCCCATATCTCTTCTGGAGTTTAGATTAGAATCATATATGTATACTCATAATAAAAAATCTGTGGTATACCACAATGCAAATATTTATTAGACCTGTTTTTATGGTTCTGAGGTTCTGATCTCTCTTTTTTTTCGAGAGAATCTTCTCTGATAGACTGAACTAAATCCTCTTGCATAAAATACCACCAAAATGATGAAAAAATTTACGCAATTACATTCTAAAATGCTTCAGCTTAAAGGGCCTTCGTTTCCAGACCCCCACTAGACTAGAGAACATCCCTGGTCCCCACAAAGGGGGGGCTAGCACAGTTCCTTGGCTCTAATATATATCAACATCCTTAAAGAATGCTGGTTACATACAGGTAGGGTTACCGGCAACAATTCGAATAAAGCCTATATACCAATTGTTAGAAAAGTTTTAAAAAACAATTTAAGAAAAAACAGGAAGATACTATGGCATCTCCCAGATACCACCATTATAATAAGCATTAAATAAATTCATAAGAGATTTATTTTACCTGGGATTACTATTTGCTGCTTGGGACTCAGTGGTGCCTCTGGACTGGTGGGTATATTTGGGCCTGAGCTTTCACTTGTTGGGCTATGTACAATCCCATTTTGAACAGGCTTTGATGGCATGATGGGGAGTGTAGGTACCTCTGGTAAAATAATCGGTGTTGGGCTGTCGCTGGTAGGTGGCAGACGGTTGACGGTGGCTGCTGGGCTGGTAACGCTGGGGGCTGGCTTGACAAATGGTGGTGGGCTAGTAAAGGTGTTGTGGGCCTTCTCAACTGGTACAGGTTCTTCCGGTGACAAGGGCTGAGATTCAGGTGACTTTACCTATAGAGCATTTCAACAAATGTTGAAAGTATTTTTTCCGCAGTTTGATATAGAATTGATTATCATATGTGCAATATATTTTATATACACATCTGTATAAAATATCTCTAAAAAGATACAAATTACATCTGAATTATGCAATCAATCCATTATAATCAACTAAAAAAAATTGCATTTAGAAAATGGATGATTAGTGAAGGAAACAGAAACAAACTGACAAAGAAACGAAGGAAAGCCACAAAGCAGAGAAGATGAGAAAGCAAGATGAGAACCAAAAAGCACAAAGAATATGAAAGAAAGAATGAATGACACATACAGAGGAATTTTAATTTCCAACACAAACAATGGAATGGGAAAACACAGAGAAGAGTGAAAAGCATGAAAGTGATACATAGAAAGACACCTTGAAGGAGAAATCAAGCAAAGCAATGGAAAAATGAAGTGACTGGTTCATGCATAGGAAAACACAACGCAAGAAGAATAGAAAAGCAATGGAAGGCAAGAAAGATGTGAAAGACAAAAGATGAGAACAGAATGATGACAATGATGATGGTGAAGATGAAGACAAGGCAGAAAAGACAATGCACATAGAATGAAAGTTAATATAATAAAGGACAGCAAGATAACTTCACGAAATCCACTTGCCTTCTTAGGTTGGCTAAGGTCTATCCTAACTGGTTTGAACTGTTTTGTTACATCTCCTTTCGGACTCCAAACGGCCGGCATATCTTTCAACGTCCTCTCCTCATCGGGTTCGCTGGCGGTGCTACTCGTCTTCGCTGGTGACCAAAGAGCTAAGTGGACCAATCAAGTAGCAATATAAAATTAACAATAGAATCATCACACTCTTAATATGAATGCTTAGCTCTTCTTCGACAGTTGTGTTAAACTGATCTGCAGAACTTCACGAATGACTCAATCTGTATTATGTCAAATGGCTTAAAGAAACTGTATTAGTTATTTTTAATAACTATTGCTTTAGGAAAGAATGTAATGAATGTGACTCCAGAGATTCATATATATTTCAAATATCCATCGCAAACAGTAGCAGGCATTTATAAACGAATTAACATTCTTTCAAAACAATCATTATTTTCTTGATGATTGAATAGTTACTTATTTATCAATAAATTCTTTCATGATATTAAGTGTAACATCAAAATGTTAAGTATTTTTATTCAAGCTTTCTGATTTTACCACAGATAGAACAAATAAAATTATATTTTCTTATTTAGCAAATAGTTTGGCCAGAAACATCCTGACGGAGAAGAAAATAAAAATAAAAATGTGCATTGGTGAATGTAAAGAGTGTAGTAATGAGATGGTTAGTTGCTTTATATTTCTATAATTAGGTTGAAATATATATATTTCAAATATACATATTTTATGGTTACAAGGCAGTTGCGGACTAATAAAAATAAAGAAAAACATATATTTTTCTAGAATTTCCTATTTTTTCGTGGCAATGTGTGTGCTAACTGGCCAAAAGGAAGTTTTATTTTTATTTGAAATCATCATTAGTGGTGGACGACACGTTCGCTAAACAAGCTATAAAAAAAGTCTTGCCTCATAAGCTATCTAAATAACAAAATTAAATGTATTTATTTAATTTTATAATTATGTTTATTGAACTGGTCACCAGTTATTATAAATATTATTAAATATTATTTTCATCTACTACAGCACTATATAAAAGAATATTTCTGAAACCATTCTTCTATTTTTATTATAAACCACTCAGACGTTATGAATATTGTTATTATTATTGTTTAATTTATCCTTTAAGCTCATCATTATAAATTACTAGGGCAGATTAATTTGGCTTTTGGTGACCTGCTTTTGAAATTCTGACCCATATATTAAATTTGCCCAAGGGTGTCCAAATGTAGAAGGTGTTAATTGGAACGCTGGCTTAAAGGATCACTGCACAAGGATCTCTGAGAAGAGCAAACCTGTTGTCAAACACTCACTAGATTAGCTGGAAAAACTATTGCCAGCGACATATGCTAGTGCATATCAGTAGCAGATTAAAAGGGTGGGGGGAGATATTTTTCCAAATTATACAAAAATGGAGAACAAAAATTATATTCAAATTTAAGTTTGAGAGTATAATTTTCCAAGCATTATAATCAGGTAGTAAAGTAGCTGGCTACTAAGAAAACTTAAAGAAATTGGAGCAAGTTGCACATTGTATAAGATTGATTCCAAAATTCAATATAAAATCCTTTTACTGACTTATCACTGACTCTCAATCAACCCACATACATTAATCAACTTCTTCCCAAATATGTGCCTGGCTGTTCCCTACATTCATCTGATCTCAATTTAAATTCTGTCCCTCGCACCAACACTAAGACCTTCGGACACAGATCATTTTCATTTGCTACAGCCACACTCTAGAACGCACTACCACTTCACATTAAAAAATCAACATCAATTGCTTTATTTAAAAAATCACTCAAAACGCACTTATTCCAACAATAACATGAAGCGCCACTGATAATTACTTCGGTTTTTTAAATGGCGCTATATAAGTTCTTACCTTATTATTATTCTATACCCATTGACCAGGTGAATAATAAATTGTCAACTTTTATAGCGCATATTGTAAAGCCCTCTATGCGCTTAGCATTATTACCCCCCACCGGTCACTGCATCAAGCACATATGGAACACACACTCAGGCCCCATGGGAGAATTCCATAATGCTGCAGCTATAATCAGCACATGGTTGCGCTTGAACCTACCAGGTACCCACTTGTACTCCTGGGTGGAGAGAGACATCCGTAGGACACAAGCAACTTGCACAGCGAGAAACACTAAAGACCACATTATACTACAATAAACTGAATACGGACAATGCATTACCTGGCTTAAGTGAAGTACTAAATTTACGGGGTGTTGGGACTTGCACACTAGATGGTTTTGGCGACACTGCAACATTTGAAATTGGTGAATTTTCCTCGGTTTGTGAATATGCTGGCGGCGGAGGGGGCCATTCGTCCGATAAATGCGTACCATTCATTGTTGCATGCGAGTGATTGGTTAATGGTGCTGGGTGCATCACTGCTTCTTGTCTTGTGATTGGCTGATTATTATTAACTAACATTTTAGGAGATTGTGCATATTGAACTGTAGGGGCTTCTGCTTGCATGAAAGAAAGAGAAATAGAAATCATAAATGCCACATTTTATTTTTTAGAGCTACTACCTATCAGCTGACTGATTTCATTGGTAACAAATAATGAATCTACTGATTTAAAAGATTTAAACTGATTTGATAGAAAATAGAACATACACTTGAAAGTTTAAGAAGTATACATATCAACTTAACAAACTAAGTAATTATGTTGATATAATTAATAATTAAAAGAAAAATAAATTTCATTTGAAAGAAAATAGTACATGAAAATTACAATATCTGGCAAATTATTTCAATGTAACAATTAAAATATTAAAATTTCATTTTGACCAAAATAAAGTGATCTAGACATGCTTTTTGGTCATTAATTGGTCAAAAATATTTTTCGTTATTCAAACTTTTACAAATATGCTAGTCTTGTTTCACAATGCAAATGATATAATTATAATGCAAATGATCCATAGTACAGTATGATTTGCATGTCAAAATATCAAATTATTAGATGACATTTACAGACATTCAACCACCTGTCATATATAGCAGATGTTACTAAATCCAAATGCTAGGGAATGAGTTAATGACTTTCTAAATCT